TGCACCACATGAATTCCTTTCTCCCACGAAGAAGCAGGTCATCGTCTTCGGGTCAAAACTATTGATTTGCGTATATACGTTTTCACAAATTAAATTTACCCCCATTTTGTGGCTTATCTTCTCCGTCTGCAACTCCCAATAATTAATAGACACAATCTCATCATCCATCTGTTCCGTTTTCTCTTCCTTCAACCCAACAATAAATAAACGCAAAAACTTGTCTGTCACGAAAGAACCTTGAAGACCGACTTTTGAATTTCAACCTCTCTCTGAAAGTCCACAATTATTGATCAATTTGACTCGATCATAAAAATTGGAACCCAAATTTTTTAGAATATATGGATCTCAAATGATCAAAGATTGTCAACTCGGTTTAGCCCGTTGGTCAGGTCGATTAAATGGGTTGAGGGTTAATGGTCCAATCATTTTATTCCGCGTTTGCCCAGATATATGAAAAAGTCATTATATTGTTCATATATTTATAAATTATATAAAATCTCATCTACATATGGATAATATTTTCCTTGCCCGGACTATCTACATTTGTTTCTCTACCTGCTACTTTCCGCCACCCTCCTTCAAGCTCCTAAAAATTACTCAGACGACATGAAATCATCACGTGATGAAGGTCGCACTCCTATGGCGATGGTGAGTGTGTCAGATGTGAAATTCATGTGGAACGGCCAAGTGGGAATTGATTGTGGGGGTGTTTGCGAGGGAAGGCAATATGTGATGAAAGGCGAGTTCTGCCAATAGTCTCTTTGTCTACAGAATTGACTTAACGGATTTAGCTTACCAATTCGCGGAGCGGGAGCTAGAATGAGATCGTAAGAGCGTATATTATTCGAGAATTATAATTTGAGTGTGTCGACAGAGTGTGAATATTATATTATATTAATTAGTATATCATGTAACTTACTAACATGTTGGTCAAAATATTACAACAATGCAGCGAAAAAAATAAAAAAATTATTTCAGTAGAATGATAGCTTTAAATAATCTTATTAGGCCCGAAAAAGGAATAGGCTTCAAAAGCTGAATAGAAACCCACCAAAATTTACGATACTATTTTTAGTTTTTATAGAAGTTTTTAGTTTTATTTTATTAAAAAGGAAAAGAGAAATGAACATTGTTTATCCACCCCCGTGAAATCCACTAGTTGTTAATAAAAGAGTCTATATCTTCTTCTTCCCCTTCGATTCTTTGTTTCCTAAGTCGACATTAGAGATCTCCTGTAGATATACCAAATTGGCAAATTCTACATCACCGGTCATCTAACTAACCTCCTATGCTTTTATGTAGTCCAAACCCGTGATTTGATGATCTATTTGTCAATCCCCATTCAAGAACTCGTGGTGAATCTAGTAGAAAGATTTTTTTACCGTGCATCTAAATCTTCAACAACTTTCTAGATTTCGTGCCGCATGTATCCTTTTCATCTTTGCTCTCAAGATCTATGACACCACCACAAGTATTCCTTTCTCTCACGAACAAGCAGATCCTCGTCTTCGAGCTAAAGCTGTTGATTTTGCTATAACTTGTTTCATTTTACTTTGTTTATAGAGAGAAAAATCTCCCAAATAAGTGATATATGAAATAACATTTGTGAAGTTTGATTTTTGATGTTCTGATTTAGAGTTGGTGCTACAATTTCTGGGTTGGAAGTTGGTGGTTTCTGTAAAAGAATTGTGAAGCAAAAATATCATTCCTACTTTCGCTCTCGTTGTAGGAAATTTTAATCGAGACAAAAATTTTCTCATTTTAGTATTACATATTGTGTGGAGTGTAGATAAAGACATGTACTTTCACTACAAATTCATTAGCACATTTAAAAAGGGTGAAAGGAGCCAACTTATTAAACTCGTAATGATTGTTGGATCCAATCATGTCAAGATAGGAAGAGGTTTAGAATTTGACGGTTAGTTGAACTACAATGTTCAAACAACCAATCCCATTTAGTTTACACAAAGATATGAATACGATTGTTTTATAGTAGGTCTAAAACTTAATACTAATTTAAGAATTATACATCACTTCTACATATTCAATACTTCAATTCGATATGGAATATTCAAGCCAATGATATGTGAGCCTAGGGGTGTTCAAACGGTTTGGTTACCATGGTAACCGTTTTAACCGGTACTATTTGGATAATTTGGTTTGGTTAATTTGGATAATTGGTTTGGTTTGGTTAAAGTTTTTAACTTGTTTGGTTTCAGACACTCCTAACCAGTCAAACCAAATTAACCAGTTAAGTAATTAGTCATATATCTAACATATATTATATACACATACTTAATACTGTGCATAGCCACTCAAGAGTTAACGTTCATCCCTTTTAGACTCATAAAATATAAAGCTCAATATTGCTCATATAGTGTATATTTGTATATGTAAAATGTAGACCACAACATATGGACGCCTAATTTAGATAAATTTCATACATTATGATGGATGAAAACTTGAAAGGAAGGTCATTTCCAGCCTATGATAATTGCTAAGAGACTAAGTCAATTTACACAAACACAACAATTCATTAACCCATACCATTCATAAATTTTTGTTAGGTGAATACTTCTATACTAATCGTAAGATAATTGTCTTAGTTGCATGTATTTTTGTTAAGGGTCAACTATAACTACGTGTTGGTTGTTATGTTTTATTCATTATATAAATTGCGAATTGTTGCATTAACCGGAAAATTTTCATCGTCAATAATAATGTAATTTTATATTGGTTAATCTGGTTAACCAATTAACCAAACCGATTGAACTTTAGTTTGGTTAATTTGGTTGTTGTATTAGTTTGGACGGTTTGGTTATGATATTGTATTCCATGGTTAATGGAATTTAGCCTTATTTGGTTTGGTTATAACCATGGTAACCATTTGAACACCCCTAGTGAGCCGCAATTTTAAAGTTATACTCTATTTATAAGATATATAAAAATTTAATTAAGTATTAAACAATAATTAAAATGAGGAATTTGGCCTTTGTTAATCACACCAAGTTTCAACTCAAATGCATGTTCCTCTAATAATTTTTGCTTCTTATTTGTATGAGATGAGGTCAACTAGCTCTATGACTGTGCAGTTGGAAATAAAAAATGAAATTTACTATTGCGGGATTATGATGGCTTTTGAGATGGTTGGGTCTTTATAGGCTCTCGAATCTAAAGCAAGAAGAAGAGACGATGAGATAGTCGAACTTGATCTGTGATGTTCCATGTTGTTGTGTTTTGTGATAAATAAAAGGATGATATGACAACGTAGTTCCGTATACAAATTGTTAAAAACACCATCGTTTTGGAGTGGCCCTGTGCTCAAATCAGTTGGTTCAATCGGTCGGATTTTTCGATATTATTGGGGTTTCATGAGTTTGATCGAGCATGAGTAGACAACCAACTGGGCCTTCGGCACCCGCTGAGATACTCAGGTTTAGGTAGAATTGGTTCGACCAGTAGAGTGAAACTCGAAATGACTATCATGGTTATGACTCTTATCTGTGTTTGAAGACACATTAGTTGAAATCACAATATTTGTCTATTTTCTATACAAAATAAAGATGAATAATGGTGAAGACAAAAGTGTCATTCATTTTTTTGCTCTCATTGTAGGAAATTTGAAATGAGACGAAATTTTATCATGCCAGTAGTATTTATTGTGTAGAGTGTATATGTAGACATGTCCTTAGTCTAAAAATTCATTTTAATAAATAAAAAATATGAAATAAACCAACCTATTAAAGTCAACCTCGTCTAATGATTGTTGGTTCCAATACTGTCTCTCGGATTAGGAAGATGTTTAAAACTTAACGATTAGCCGAGCTACAAAGTTCAAAGAACCCACCTCCATATAGTTTGTAGAAAGACGTGAATATGATTGTCTCATAGTAGTTCTATAAACTAATACTGATGTAAGAGTTCAACATCGCTTATACAAATTCGATATGTAATATTGAACCAATGATATTTTTTATATGACTTTAAAGTTATCCTCTATTTATAAGATAAATAGAAATATAAATTAAGTATCAAAATATAATTAAAATAATTAATATGAAAATTGAAGTATCAAACATCAATTAGTACCGAGGGAAGATTTAGTGACCTTAGCTAACTGTTGAAAAGTTCTGTGATTTTTTAATTTTAGCTTCATGTATGTATTTTATTTAAAATGATACAACTAATTTATGTAGTCTTATTGGTTAATATGTTTGTCATTGTTGAAAATGACCATGGTTCAAATCCTAGTATGTCTTCCTTTTCTTAGGAATAAATGGGAAACAAATAAATCATTGTGAAGACAAGGATACCATTCCTACTTTCACTCTTGTTGAAAAAAATATTGAATGGGGTGGAAGTTACAATAACTAGCTATCAATATTCTTGTAGATGTAGATTACAGTTGATCTGGCCCGTTATATTTGGAATGTCTCATTTTTCTAAATGATCTATCCATTTGTTGTACTTTGTTGAAATTAAGATAAACTAATGAAACTTCCACCAAAAAAGTGAGAGGAATGTTTGATACGGTTCGCTTATATTGAAATCTCGTAATTATATTCTCCTAGACGCTGGCATGATCGCTTGTTAGGGACCTATACAATATACCTGGAAAAATATTCCGCTACTCGTGCAGAATTTTGGGGGACAATGAAGGACCTCGAGCTAGCATGAGAGACAGTGCATCATCAAGTTGAGATGCTGATTGTCACCAGAACAACGCGTTCACTCATACAGGACGACGACCACCATAACAACCAACATGCCAACCTTACTTTGGCAATGTCCAAAATCTTTTACATCGAGAGTGGGAGGTTTGCCTTACCCATATTTATCGGGAAGCTAGCTTGTTGGTAGACTGTCTTGCTCACAAGGGACACTCCTTACCCCTTGGTTTTCATGTTATTAATATTAGCTCATCTCAAATTTGTTGGGCTTTATTTGACACCATTTGCACCCATTTTCATAAAAGAAAAAATTTGCACCTAAACTCAAACCTTGCCATCAACAATTATCCAACCTTTTTATTTCTTGCCATTAGCATTTATTATAATCATTAGGAAATGGATCCTGATAAGAGTACTTATCCCCACTTTAAGTAAATATTATCCCCACTACTAAATAAAAAAGGCCCTAAATGGGCAAAAACTAAGAACCTAGCTTTCCTTTTTACAAAGCTAAAGGGGAATACAGAAGAAATAGACTTGAGTAAAACAAAAAATTACAACTATCATACTAGGGAGTGAAAAAATATCCAAAAGGACCCAAAACTCTTATCATATTTCCAATTTGATCCATTCGGAGCCGTCGACGAAGCTAAGCGAAAGAAAAGGCTTAGCTTCTTCGTCGGTGAGCTCTCTGGACCAAGCCACCCTGCCGGCGAAACTAGCTCCGGGCCCTCTACACTTGTATTGCCCATAGAAAACAGTCCTGCAAAACACCACCGCCAAAGGAGAAAAAAGGAGAGAGAAAAAACAGAGTCAGCAGAATCAGAATCAGAATCTCACGCATGCTTGCTAATTACTTAGTGCTGTTGGTAGTTGGTACGGTATATTGCAAATTCTGCAAGTTGCCTCCCAGAGAAAGAATTAAATAGTTGCTATCTGCAGTTAGGTTAGGTAGGCAGATGATGGGCTAAGAAAAAAGAAGCTCTGTTCTGTTTTGGAGGTCGTGGGGCGGTAGTGCTGCACTTGCACGGGTATGAATATGATGGATTGGATCCCCAAAAGAGGCATTCACAAGAGCAGGCCAGTATATAGTACAGAAACACACACACACACTTTCACGGTCCTAGACCGGCAGATGGCCACTTCTTTTTGAGAGAGCCAAGGGAAAAAAGGGGCAACATGATTGATTGATCAGGATATGGGAAAAAGGGTGTTGAAGTTGCAACACTTTCTCTCAACTGAACCTAAATTTTGGAGGAGGGGGACTAATTGTCATATTCTATCACGGTCTAATGTTTTATGAAGATATGAATGCATATATTATACAGTTGGATAAAGAATAAATTGAGGGGACTGCACTACACGTAGCTCCACCACTGTCTAGTTAGGTAAGGACACTACCTGTATTCCCACTAAGCTTTTGTAAGTGACGAATAGAAAGGTAGGTTATTCTTTGTATGACTGGTTTAGGCGTACAATACATTATCGTCATAATGCGTAATAGTGCATTCGTCGTCGTTAGTATGTGTGAGGTTATTGTAGAGGGTTGACATCATTTGATTCATACGAAATAGGGAGTGCATGGTGGAATGAATGAGATAGGGAAAGAGAAACAACAAGTGCATTTAATAACACATCATCACTAAGTTGCACTCCAGTCATGGTGTTGTTGGACTACAAGTTCGTAAGTATGCTTGTGTGTGCATCATCGTTAGGGATGGCGGTTCAGTTTTAACCGACACTGAACCTGTTTTCTAACCTTATCAGTTTCCCTTAACATATAAAAACCGATAAGCTTTTAACGGTTTATTTTTTATTTATTCTGATCAAAACTAAATCCCCTCATGATTTCAATTTTGAACAATTGATTAATTTGAATTTCGGTTTCTAATGGTTTTCGGTTCGATACCAACAAAGGTTTTAAGCGTTTAGAAATGAGAAAAATATGAGAAGGGATGATGAAGTTGAGAGAGAGAGAGAGAGAGACGTACAATTCTCGAGTAGGGTCGCCCCAATTGTACCAGCCTTTGGGGATGATGATGTTGTCCATGTAAGTGTAGGCAAAAACCACCCTCGAGAAAGGACCCCAAGCCCTCCCCAGATAGAGGGCACCCGACCCCGTGACCTTACAGTTGACGAACGAGAACCCTGTATCCTGCAACAGGCTGCTCCTCCCCTGCGCCGTTAGCGCCCCTGTATACTGCGCTACTGCATGAACCTCACACCCCTGTTTTTCATCACCATCATCATCTCAATCACTCCTCCTTTCTTCCTTCTTCTTCCGTTTCAATCAGGAACAATCATTCGATTCTACTAATCAAAGGTGGGTGGGTTCTAATTAATTACCTCGAAGAGGGACAATCCGTTGCCGAATATGAAATCGACGGACCCTTCAATGTAGCAGTCTTTGTAGTAATGCCTCCCCAATTGATCATACAGAGTGTCTTGCGCTCCCAGGAATCTGCACCCCAGGAATGCCGCCGTGTCGGCCGATATCCTGAACGCCACCGCCTGCTTCCCCGCGGCTCCCGGCGCTGGAACCGGCGTCGTATTCTGCGACCCCATCGCCAAACCAAGTCCAATTGGGTTTTGAGAAAACAGAGGACAAAAACAGGGGAGTATGGTGGTGAAAGTACCTTGAAAGTGATGTTCTTGGCTATGAAGAAGGGGGAATTGACGGCAAACGTGGCGGAAGCGTAGGTGCCCATTGGGTGTCCTCTTGGGCCGGGGGTTTTGGCTGTGTCCCCCCATTGTACTATTGTCTTCTCCGCCCCAGCACCTTCTATCGTTATGAATGACTTCAATGGCGGTATGCTCACCTTCTCTCTGCAACTCCATACATAAAAACAAGATTGGTGTTAAGCTTTTTGTGAGAAAGTTAAGGACCCGATTGGGGAGATCACTATCCCACATTCCCACTCCAATTGGGGAGATCACAACACAATGTGGGACAAAATTCACCACGGATCAACAACCTTATTCATTATTATAATACTATTTTTCTCTTCAAGGAGAAAAAAAACACACACAGAGGAAATGGGGTGAACTAACGTGTAAACGCCTGCATGGACCTTGATCACGACCCGGACGATGTTGATGAAAGGGAGGGAATCAACGGCGTCCTGAATGGAGGTGAAGTCCCCGGCGGCCGGGTTCCTGTCGACGGTGATGGTGAAGGAAGGGAAGAGCTTGTTCTTTGCTGCTCTGAAGACAGAGTGCTTTAAGCTTCCAACAAACCTGACCCACTTGAGGAACTGCTGTTCTGAGAATTGGGTCCTTGTGGAATTCACGGGAGGAGGAGGAACCTGTTGGTTCCCAATTGAGTTTCCTGGTCTCAGCCCCTTGGTGTGACAGAATGCAGTTTGCCCTGAATTCAGCAGCAGGAGTATGAGAAGAAACATGGAATTAGGGAAGAGTGACATTGTAGGAAACTCAATGAAGCAAGTCTATGGACCAACATGGCCTCTGTTATTGTTATGAGTGTGTGTGTGTGTGTATATATGGAGGGAGAGAGGGTACCTTTTTCTGGGAGGTTATGGGTGGAAAGTGACATAGAGCTTGAAGAGGACAAGGAAGTTAAGGAAGAAGAGAGTGAGAATGTGAGATGATGATATGAGAGAGTTCACGGGCGGTTTTGTGCTGCCCCCACTATAGCATTTGGGCCACAGAGAAGAGGAGGGCAGAGAGCAGAAAAAGAGAAGAGGGGAAGAAAAGTGGAAGAAGAAGAAGAGAGGAATAGAATAAGGCTAAGGCAGAGTGCCCTGCTTTTGTTGGTGGTGGTGAGTGTGTGGTTGTTTGTTGAGTTGTCTTGTTGTTTGGCTCCCGTGAGTGATGCTAGCTGCTGTCTTACTTCTTTTTTGCATGTGTTTGTTTGTGTGTTTCTTCTGTGAAGGGTTGAATATATTGTTCCAATGTCGACCCCTGGCTAATATAGTATGGTCTATAGCTAGCTTGATGATGGATGTTTATGAGGTTAAGTTAATATCATGGTTTTGATGTTTTGTTTGGTAGGTAGGCCAGATGGATCATATTTGCTTGGTGCACTTGATTCGGTGGCTCGCATATGTAAGTGTTAGCTGCCATTAATTGAAGCAAACCGAAAGAGAATACATGCAATGTATGGATAGATTGTACCGGAGATTGTTAAACGTGATTCTGTTTCCTGTTAACGCTCTAGTTATTTACGAGTGCGACATATGTCCAGTTTTGACGGACGGTAAGTTGGCAACTAGGGTAAGCACTTCTACAACTTTTCCCATCCTTTTTAATCCCTAACCTAATGTAATGATGCCTTTCCGGATGTGAACAAGGTTCTTGTAGAGGGAATATGAGGCCTTCAACGAACAAGTCAGTCTCCTGATCATGGCCGTAACGACTTGTTGTTGTTGCCTGAACTTCATAAGGTGGAACGCTGTTGGAGCTCTAGTGGAAATTAAAAGCCTGATTCGTTGGACGTAGTTAGTAAATACTCCGTTTAATACACGTATATGTACCCGTACGTACTTTATCCGTTTAAAACTTCCGTATCCGTATTATTGTCAAGCCGTTTCATTTTCCCCCGTTCATTTCATGGTTCCCGTACTAAACACGTATAAAACCCGTATAACACGTTTATTATCCGTATTTTACGAATTAAATTGTTAACTTTATTATTATTTATATATTTATTTATTTTTAAAATGATTAATTTTATATATTTATGACTATTAACGTACTATTAAACGTAATTTTAGCTTAAAGATGAAGTATAATGCCCGTACGTATCTTTTACGTAACTTTCCCGTACCGTATTTTACTAACTACTTGGACCAGATTGGCTTGTGTCTCCTTTGGCACCACAAGTCGCTATATGTGTCTGGTTACAATTTTCACTTTTGTTGTTTGCTTTTTTGGCATTTAGCCGACTTATTCTGTTGCTGGTATGTGTGCCGTGGGTTACTGGGTTTGGGTGTTGGTGGTGTGCAAATCACATTGCCGTCGCCTGCTCGGGAAATTGTGTATGGTCACGAGATGCTAGGGGAGTTTGTTAGGGCGAATCTGTTAAATTCTAAGCTACAGTGTCCTGAACTCTAACAAATTAACCTCTGTCGCCGCTCTTACCTACCGGGCAACCGGTGTGTGATGACCTTATCGGTGTTGGAAGAGGAAACCAGCATTAGAAAGGATATTGCAGAGCATTGTACAGCATGTTTGCTGAAGCGTGTCCCATGAAGAAGATACCAAACATGCTGCATTTCTGCCAATTATCTTGCAAACTCTAATCTATATGGCAAAGGATATTACTCATTGGCCACAAAGATGAACTTTCTTAGTAAACAAATGAAGGGGGTAACAAACACGCTGTATTTCGAAGTATAATACTTCTAGTCTGAAGATACATGCAGCCTACACTCATCCCAAACCAAGAAGTACAATAACTTACTTGCATGGCCATGATTCAAAGTGGTCATCAATCCCTAAAGAGTAAAGAACCTCGGCGGTGTATGATTCCTTAACCTGGACATCATCAAGAATACCACAGCTGTTGGAGGACCAAATACCAAATCATATCACAGTTACTCCCTTGCTTCAGTTGCTGCACTATCAAAACCAGCAGCCATGATGAACAATGAGATAAAGGTTGTATGAGCTAGGCCTATCTGCAACAAGAGATTGATAATAGCAAGTAATGAACTAACAAGGTATGCTGGCATCTATAGGTGATCGAAGAAACCAGAAGATGGGCATCAATTGTGAAGACAGACTTCACTAGACTGAGGGAGATCAACGACAGGCTAATGATGGCCGAGCGAGCATTTCTTGAACGAGAGGGACGTCTGCAAGACCATGGTATAACCATATGGTATGCTTCTAACTTTTTATTACCATTTTCTGATCGATATTATTCTGCCTACATATTTCGACACCATTTCCCACTACACCGTCAACATAGCTTAAAGTAAAAAGTTCAGACCATGTTGGCATTCTACAAACGATTGCAAGTTCTAACGGTCCCAGTCAATGATGGAATAACATTCTATGGGACAGATATATGCATCTGCCAAGCATAATGTGTCTGGAACAAAGTACTTCCCAGGAATTGATGATGCAATAGAGCAAGCAAAGAGTATGAATACTAAACAATCATGGAAGGCATGGAGTTCGAAGAGTGGCCAAAGCCATTAATCGAGTCACTAAGGTCCTTAGTGGTGAACTGACATGAAAAAGTTCAGTAAAAGGCAGGACTTACAGGGAATTGTTTTTTGTGGGTAGAAACCATCATAATCCGCATTAAATGCCTCTGAATCAGCAGTTTTCAGCTCCACCTCAACAAATGTACTTTGTAAGCTCCTTTTCAAGAATGGTACAACCGTTCAACCAATAACTTTCAGAAAGACTCCTGTGTAAAATATGAATAGAATTAGCTTCAGATCCCTTCGTTAAGATGCATTAACCCTACTCTGTGAGAATCAAAATCACCAATAATACAAATTGCCAACCGAGACAATGGCTGATGAAAACATGTATTGCCTATAGATATGGATTCTTATTTTTGTTTACTGGGGTGAAACTAAAATTGAAACAATTACTTCTCGACAATGTGATAGAATAAAAACAGAAACATTGAATATTGCTAGATGCCGATAAACAAACGAGAACAAATTTTGGCCTTATAAACTTGAAACAACTTAGAAGGAATACAAAGGCACAAATTTTCCCACCAGTGGATTAGAGGAGGGAAATGCATAAGGGAACTGCATACAGTGCCTGAAGCTTGTTTAAGAAATAAACCAAGGAGCTCCATGGGAAGAAGAGAGTACCCGAAGCAGGAACTAACCACCTCAAAGAGCTACCAAAGAAAGTTTGCAGCTACATCTACTATGAACATAAGATAATATGCTGTTTAGACTCAGTTCACTAGCTCTACAAATCAATGACTGAACACTGTACATTAATAAAGTCAAACATTCACAGCTTTTACAGGGAGTAGTTCATGTACATAATCCTGCATTTTATCTTTTTTTGCATTCTGGTAAGTAGTAACTTTGAATCCCAATTCAGCAAATAAGCAGATTGAGTTCTCCGGTTATAAATGGATAAACCCGAATTATTTAATCATGATCAAATCTCATTTAGTGCTGCATCTACTAGGAACACCAGAGAAGTGTTTAGAGCAATAATCAACTTTTATCAAATTAAACGATAATATAGTTGAGTAAATCCACCTTAACAAGCGGCTAAGGGCACCCATTATGCTTCCCCTGAAGCAATGAATAATGACACAATGTGCTTTAGCATATGTTTCATGCTTGAGATTTATGGCTATGTTTATTTGACTTTGTCAACTAGGAAAAGAAGCAAGTTGCGTATAGTTCAGCAAACAGGGCATTAATTACGATATATCTGCAAGATTGTCTGCTGTGCACTTGCATGATATCCTGCTATTCAACGATTCAGCTACTAGGCCATAAACAAGTAACGTAAAGAAGATGCTGTTGAATATGGACAGTCAGGAAAATTAATGCACGGAAGAAGATAAGCAGCCAAATCTCGTTATCAATCATCTACAGTCTGGTCTTGGTTTTTTTTTTTAATCAGTATCCAGAAGATTATTCTCGAGTCACCCGCTTGAAGACAGAGAAGTCAATACAAAGATTAAACAGATAAGAATATACAAATATAAGAGAGACAACCGAAACCCATTATATTATGGGTTTCACGTTATACTGTAATATGATTTTTGAATATAAAGATCGCTTAGATCTTGTTCAGATTGAGTGGACTTAAATAGTAATTAAATATTACAAGTATTTTACTTCCGGTACAAAGTCAGACACTTGTTACCACAAGCCGCCATTATTGAAGAGGCAGCCAAAACAATCTTTCTTCCACCCTCCCCCACCCTCAGACTATCACTCCGCCAGTCTTCCCTGGTTTTCATTGACATTTCATCGTCCAACTATATACAGCAACTTATGGTAAATGAGAAGTCGCACTACAGCAAAACCAAACATCCATCTCCAAGCACATTCCTGAGCTAAACACCATGATCAGAGCAGCCATCTTCTATGTGTTCTTTGCCTTAACCACATCTTTATCCTCCTGTTTCAGTCCAAAGTCCCACTATCACTCTCTCTTCCTATCAAACTCCCTCGCTAACAATGCCTCCATAGCTCACAACCTTTACATGCTTACCCGCCGCCCTCACGTTGCTGGCACAGAAGCCAACACCGAGACGGCAGAGTATGTCAAGTCTATACTAACCTCAAACAAGATAAAGTCCCACACAGTGTCCTATGATGTGGCCTTGACATACCCTGCCTCACGTTCCTTGACACTCACCCCTGAACCAGGTCATCCACCAATTGTGTTTGACCTCCGCCAGGAGATCTATAATGGCGATCTCTATGCAGATGTTGCAAACGAGGTTATGATGACATTTCATGGGTTTGGCAGGACAGGGACCGTTGAGGCACCTGTGACTTATGCAAACTATGGACGTGTGGAGGACTTTGCAATGTTGAAAGAGATGGGGGTCAAAGTTTCTGGGACGATCGTATTGGCAAGATATGGGAAGATTTTCAGAGGGGATATTGTGGATAACGCATATGCAGCAGGTGCTATAGGAACTCTCATATATACAGATAGGAAAGACTATGGAGGTGGCGGAAAGGATGCAGGGTGGTTTCCAGATGCAAAATGGATGCCACCAACAGGAGTTCAGGTTGGTTCTGTTTACAGTGAGGCTGGTGACCCTACAACTCCTGGATGGCCGAGTACTGAAGGTTGCGAGAGGAGAGCTTACGAGGAAGCGGAGAAGTTGGGAGTCGTTCCATCCATACCTTCGCTTCCAATATCAGGAGCAGATGGCGAGACGATCATAAGTTCGCTCGGTGGACGGCTGGCTAACGACGATTGGCAAGGAAGCAAAGATGCTCCAACGTACAGGGTTGGACCAGGGCCAGGGGTTGTAAATCTCAGCTACAATGTAGGTCATATCATCCTCAGTTAATTGGATTTAACTGCACTATGCATGCTTTTACTTAAATAATATTAAGAGTATGATTTCATTCACTACTGACGATAGCCACTCTATGGGATCTCAGGCGACAAAGACTATAGCAACAATACATAATATTATTGGAGTGATCGAAGGATCGGACGAGCCTGATCGGTGAGAAAACTTTAGAATCACAAAACTGTGTAAAGTAGTTAAGATTTGCGTACATATATTTCATCATGCTGGTGATGTAAAATACAAACAAGGATCAGGAGTAGAGAACTCATTTTCTCACATATTCAAAGCATCAAATCCTCTTTTCTAGATTTCAAATGCAATGATTAGCCATGAATGTACAAAGTTTATTGAATTTTCATTAGATCCAGTCAATAAATGAACATAAGAGTTTGATATTGAGAACTTATCTGCTTCGGAAATCTAGGTTTGTCCTCCTTGGCAATCATCGGGATGCATGGACATTCGGAGCAGCGGATCCCAATAGTGGAACTGCAGCATTGCTTGAGGTAGGCATGGTCCCAATAGATTGGCATATCAAGTACTTTGCTGAAACAATATTCAGAAATTGTTGGACATAACATGAGTGAAATCTCTACATGGAATATAGGTTGCTCAAAGACTGGCAAGACTGCAGAAGAAAGGCTGGAAGCCAAGAAGAACGATTATCTTCTGCAGTTGGGATGCTGAGGAATACGGCCTGGTCTGTGTACTCTCTTCCTTCTCTTTGCCCCCTGTATGTGCGTGTGTTTTCAAACATGCAAATATGTAGAGGCCTAGAGGGAACCATAATCCAACTGCTGTGCAGATAGGATCGACTGAATGGGTGGAAGACAACAGAGAAGCGTTAAAATCAAAAGCTGTTGCCTACTTAAATGTGGATGTCGCAGTCTGTAACGAAGGATTTACTGCTTCAGCAACTCCTCAACTTGATGAACTACTCAAATGGACAACTAAACAGGTACCAGAATTGTGTATAATAGTCCATAAAAAAACGGGGGATTGTTTCCTCGAATCAAGCATCACCAACCAATAATGCCAATTCAATAAGAATAGTTCTTGTGATATGCTTTGTTAGACTATAAAAGAATCGGGAACACTTTATAATGACTGTTAGGTAAGGCTTTGGAGAAAAAAATCCAGAAGAGTCTACCATCTTTGGTCACAAAAAACTAATCAAACTCACAACTGATGTCTCAAGGTCAAAGACCCAAAGAACACGTCACAGACTGTCTACGATTCATGGGCAAGCTCCAGCGGCTCTCCTCAGGTGAGGGAAATTCAAATCCTTGTTTAATTCATGTTAAACTCTCAACAACTTACACAAAAGAATGCAGTTTTTACCACTTCACCAAGAATATATATTTAGAGAGAATGAGAGAGTAGTAACCTGACTTTCAAATGGTGCAGGTTGAAAGATTAGGGGGTGGGGGGTCAGACTATTCAGCTTTTGTACAACATATTGGTGTGCCATCAGTTGACATGTCTTACAGAGTAGGAGGTAAGGGTCATACAGCATTTTCTGCTCCACATCACCCCATAGCTAGAGGGTTAAAATAACCTGCTTCTAAGGAAAAAAAGGACAACAATGCAATATCCACCTATTTCTTACAATATCAATTATCAAGTACCAGGCCGACCTTCCTCAAAAATGTTGTACAGGGCCATTGATGAACTTTACTGATATTATGGCAAGATGACCTTTTGCTTCCAGAGCTTAAATGAACTTCTACAATTTCTTTCATTCATTTGCACAACTTCAATTCAATAAACAAAGTTCCCTTCGTGATCTCTCAACCTTTTTCAAAATAACTTAAAATACTCAACTTCTCAACTGTTTGACATTAACCAGCAGTATATCTACCAATATGTTATCTGCCTGCAATATCTACAGGATACCCTGTGTACCACTCAATGTATGATGACTTTACCTGGATGGAGAAGTTTGGCGATCCTATGTTTCACAGACATGTTGCAGGTATGAAACTTGAGTAACAAGACTCTGAAAAACAAATCTTCATCTAGGCTGAGATGGTATGGATTGTTTGCCTCATGGAATAATTCTCAGGGGGGGGGGGGGGGGGGGGGGGGGATGACGACTTGGACAAGAAATTCATTCTATAAGTTGCCCCAAAGGAATCAGGGAAAAAACAACAACTATAGGCTAATTTAATATGCAACATCAGGCTGAATCATGTATCTTAACCTAAAGCTTCAATTCACACCTCGCAGTTGCAAGCATCTGGGGCTTTCTAGCTCTTCAGTTAGCAGACAGTGAAATTTTGCCTTTCAACTATCTTTCCTACGCCGAAGAGCTTCAGGTATAGCTCTCATGAACTTATGCAGACCCGTTACGCATCCTGAGCAATTATCTATCAATGAAAAATTAATCATGTATTGTTTTATAAATGATTTACATGTATTTCGCTTATGTTACCAGAAAAGCGCAAAGGAGTTGGAAGATGAGATATCAAATAAGACAACACTTGCTCCCTTGCACAAGTCTGTTGATGCATTAACAAAATCCGCCACAAAAATAAACAATGAGATAAATGTATGATCTTCATCCTAAAGTATATATATGATAAAACTTTCCACAAATAAAGATTGACAAAACTATAGTTGAAGAAGGATCTACTCACACAAAACTCTTGTCGTCTATAGGCGATTGAAGAAGACATACGGCAGGCTTCACCTCGGAAGAAAGACTTTACAAGAGCAAGAGCAATCAATGACAGACTAATGATGGCTGAGCGAGCATTTACTGATCCCGACGGGCTATCTGGAAGACCATGGTATAAGCATTTGGTATGTGTTTCTGCTTTGCCGCCAAGTGCATATCCAAATGACCAAATCTATATCAACCCTCTTTAAGAATCATTCTACCACATCACAATACAGAGAAAAAGGTCCAGTCTAGTGGTAAAGGTAGATGGAAAGATAAATCGATCCTAGTTTAAAACCTTGAGGCCAACATTCATCCTAGTTCCAAACCTTGACATACATAAATACAATGCAATAATGAATCTCAAATAAAAAATTCAGACTGCATAACCCCAGTTGATTGTAACAGGAGCTTCTATCCTGACAAGCTGACGTACATATTTGTATTTGGCAGGTATATGCACCTTCCAAGCATAATGATTACGGATCGAAGTCCTTCCCTGGGATAGATGATGCAATAGAAAATGCAAAGACTCTGGATACAGCAGAAGCATGGCAGTCAGTGCAACATGAAATCTGGAGAGTTTCAAGAGCTATTAAACAAGTGGCCCAGGTCCTCAGTGGTGAATTGACATAAATTGCATGGTAGCAATACATTCCAGAGAATATGAGATGTGGTGCTACAGAAACAATGACAGGGCATTTGTGCTGAGTCTCACCGTAATACAAGTACCCTGCACCCTAGCAAGATGGTGTGGTTACTAATTATATTCCATCTACAGGATTCTGAGAAATTTCCTTCTCTGTATAGACAATCTTTCAAGTCCTTTCAGAGACGAAATGCCACAGATGACCTCATGCATGTTAAATAATTATTCAGATAAACTACTGTACTGGCAGCTTCCCATTTCTCATGAGTCCTTACCATCTCGCAACAATTCTAGTCTAACTCAATGACCAGTATGTCCACTTCCACTAAACTTAACCATTTCATGCTGATCCCAATCTAGTACACCCTCGACGATTCATTTTCACATCTGCAATCATTAGCAAATGCTGTAATCTATTGTTTACATACTCAACAACCTTGGGTATGATATGCAAATAGCCAAGACTAGTAACAATCATCAAATTAAACGAAAACACCAATCGTAAAGCCCAACAGACAAATGGGTAACTATTCACAGTCAACTGGTCTGGTTTCACAAAGCAAACAGATTATGATACTATTAGATAAGAGAATACAGGATTTTATGCTAATTCACTATTACCTCCACCCAAGAAATCAAACAAGCCGCAAGACAGCAAGATTAATCATAGGAAAGGGAAGTATGAAATCGAGGTACGCACCAAGTATAGCATGCCAGTGAACCACTAGAACAATGTATACCATGAATGAGGATATTCGAATAAATACTCCTCTGGTCCCAACATTTCCAACTTCTGCAACCAGAGGGCCAAAATGTGACCTATACTACCCATCCCACCCAGCAGTTCCCATTTCCCCGACATCGCTGAATAAAAATTATGAAAAAGAGAGTGATATCGGGTAGCTCCCTATTCCCATAATTAAAAAGGCAGTTGTTTTTTCAAGACAATTCAGAAGAAAAGAATGAATTATCTTTGATATTAAAGCCTACAATGGCCACAAGCCTACGCCAGAATGCAGATAACCAATAGGTTAAGTTATTATATTTATGCTAGTTCCAATTTCGTACAAATAAAGAAGGCATATCGTTTCAAATTATACCAGAACTCGGAGACAATTTCTTCCCAGAGAGGGCCAATTCATAGGACACTACTTTATGTACATTTTTGAACTATCACCAACTCTATATGTACAACATGTCACTTGCAAGCCTTATTTATTTACTTCCAAACCTTTATAGCTCCATCTCTACTACTTGAGATCAGAAGTCTTTGGTTCAACTTTACTGAGGCCAAAGCCAAGACAGAATCCCTATGGCAGCCGGCAGAGTCTGTAGCAGCTGCTGCTAGAACAGCCTTTGTAGTCAACTTTACTGTTGAAGGTCGTCTTCTAATTTCCTGCTTAAAAGAAAAGAAGACAATGCTTAACAATAAGAGTACCCCCACCAAAGCTCGCAAATAGTCAAGCAATCAAGTAACATTTATGTAGGAGCAAGAGCTCTGCCCTATTTAGAAGACTTGAAAGGAAGACAAATGCGTGCATAACAGATAGATAACCAAATATACTGTGAACAAAAAAATCTCCAGGATAGCTATAACTGATAGTAGATGAGCCATCAAAGAAAGTAGATGAGCTGATGAGGATGCTAACTTTAAGCAGGTTTTAGCAAGAAAGCCAATTTGGTGTGGAACAATTGCATCACCTGTATGGAGCTCCAGCACTTTCCCAGGTGTAAAGCGGGTTTACAAAATCCAACTAACTAAGCACATGATACAAGAAAGGATTATAGCCAAACCAACGAGCTTGAATATAGATAACAAACCTGGACAACTTGCACCCCGGAACATGACCTCTCCTCGAATAAATTCTCATTACCAGTTCCATTTAAATTTGGTCCAGATATGCAATAACTTTTCTCTGGGCTGTCAAGTGGTGGACCAAATTGAGTAAATACAACTACAGGTATGACAGAACACGAATGGAAACAGGAACAAACAAGCTAGACATAATCCAATACTTACCTGCAATGATCCCATCTACGTATCCTCAAATCAGTACTCCCAGTCAGCAAATCACCACCAGGTAAAGGAAGCATCGCCCGGATGCCGGGAAGGCGAGGAGGAGGTTCATTCAGCTCATCAACCCGATATTTCGGATTGATATTACGCCTGTCTGATTTAGAAATTGCCTTATTCGAAGGCCTGGTTAATGCTGACGGTACATCAGAAGTTTCAGGATCACCCTCGTAATTTGCCATTCTAAATACCTGAAACACAGTTAAATCATGTAAAAAATAGAACTCAGATTAATAACACACCAAAAACATTGCATTAGAAAATAGCAAATCCAGATATTTTTTTACATGTAAGCATCATCTGATTTCCAACCTACCTAGTTTACAATTGTTTCTCATTGTAGAGGTCGCATCTCAAGACAAGAGAGAGAAGTGCAATAACTATAATTTCATTACATTAGGAACTTCAGAAATAATAGATGGGAATAAACTGCTAAAATTGAAAAAGGCAAATGCTACACAGGGTTTCTGATTAGCAGCAGGGATAAATAAAGGAATTACATCCATGAGATCTTAATTTCACCAAATTGGAAACCACATTAACACCTTTTATATTCCATGTTTGCAGTTATGGTATCTCCATAAACCTTGGACAACTTTATAACATGAATTTAAGATTTTGAAGTACCTGGTGACAACTCCCATTCTCAGCATTCCAAAGAGAAACTTCATTGCAACCAGCGGCAACATAAATGAGTGGCCGTGCTGTAGAAGACACAGACACGTTTGGAGAAGGTATAAAAAGGCTCATCTTCTCCACAGGGCAAGCGAGAGAATAATGCCATGAGTTAACAGGAACAAGGAACCTTAGATCCCAAAGAGTAAGGACACCCCTAGAAGATCCTGACACAAACCAATTCCCACAAGGCCCAGTTACCAGAGAAGACACGTAGCCTTCCTCTGGACCTGCTTTTAGAGACCACGCATTTGAATTCCCTCTAACATCCCACAGGTGGATGCCATAATTCCTAGTGCTGTACATAACCATCTGACCATCACTGTTATCAGTGTAGTTTAAAAGGCTAAGAATGGCACCTTCCTGGGTGTCCTTCTTTTTTATATCAGCAATACCTGAGTACTTCTCAACAACATTGCCCAGACCTCTGGATATGTGATCCACAGAAAATACATGAAGCATTCCATCACATGCTCCAACAACGACTTTAGCAGAGTTCCGAAGCATTACAGCAGAAAGAGCTCGGCTTCCCTCAAGGTGGTAACTTAACCTTGATCTGAATGAAATGTCCTTTTCCAACTTTCTTGTATCCCAAACCTTGACAGTTGAATCATCAGATGCACTCACAAAAAGACTATGATCATTTGAAATTGCAAGGTCGTTGACAGCAGAATGGTGTTCCTGCAGGTGTGCTACCAACACACCACGAGGTTTCCAACCAGAATCAGGGATTGATGTAGGCCGCACAAAAGATGGCAATCCTGTGATATCACTTTGAGCAGCAGTATCATCGGCTACAAAAGAACTCCCTTTAGTTGAGCTAGATAATCCAGCATCCCGAAATTTACCACTGACATAGGCTGTCTGATCACTTTCCCTACTTTCAGGTTCATGCACTACTCTATAGAACTGTTTGGAACCCCCACTAATACTGAATGAACTGGATAACAGCTTTGATGCATGAACAGAACTGGCCAAGTTCAAAGATTTGTTCAACGGATCCATCCACGGCATGTATGATGAATTGATTTCCGAGGCACTAACTCGCAACGATGAATCAGAGGCTGCAGAAGGAAGTTTGACCTTTCTCCTGTCCATGCCGAAGCAATACACAGGAAAATCCTGAGATGACTTATCATGAATCAGACTATTGACACCGCTAACATGTGCTGACAAATAGCTGGAGGATTGCAGCTTCTCTGAGCATACATGATGGGGAATGTCAAGCACAGAAGAACTGTTGGTACTGCCCGAATGTCTCAGCCTCACCTCACCAATTTCTGCCTCATACAGGCCGTTCAGAGCGATTTTCTTATCATCTTGATTCAGTTTTTTGTGCGCCCAACTTCCTGTCGAATTTATCTCTCCATCCTGCTGCTTAAACATCTCGGAATCCTTGCCTGGTTTTGATTGAGCAGATGAGTTATACCAAATTTTCCTTTGTCTTTCCAACATGTCTGAACTCCTGGCATTTTCCAAGATTTGATAAAATAGCTGTCGAGATACAGGAGGCTTCAAACATGAAAAGAGAGACTTCCCAGAAGCTAGAGAAGCTGGTTGCCTACGCAAGAAAGGACGAATAACTGGGGCAAGGAAAACATATGAATCTACAGCACCTAAATTCTCACTGCTGGCTGCAATGAAGTTTACAACAGATCTTCTGACCCATTGGCTGGGATAACATAGCAATGGGAAGGCACGCTCGATCATTCCAAGCAGTACACGCTTCCGCAAGAAACCGCGTTTGCACAGAGTAGTTAGGCAATCTAATGCATTCACAATAACAGCCTCTGTTTGATCTGTTAAAGCTTGTTCAATGTAAGGTAAGAGATATTCTTCAACACTTCGATGGCCTACAAAGAAGCACACATATACAATCTTGCCATAGAAAAGTGCCCTAAGTTGCTCGTCCCGATCATTGAGAAAGGCAGGAAGGATTGGCAACAGAAAGTCATTACTCTGTCTTTGGCCAAAAAAGCAGCATAAGTAACCAATGTCCTGAAGTAGTGATCTCCTGATATTAGGAGTTTGCTTTGGTCCCATTACAAGTTCTTGAACAACCTCAGCAATAGATCTCCGCAGTTGGGCAAGCTCTGCATCATTATTTGCAGTCTGAAGCCTCCCAACAACCTCACTATTTGATGCCAATGACTTTTGAGGCAGGCTCATCTTATCAAGAACACCAGCTTCACTCAGGCTTATTGAATGAATCAGGAACCCATAAGCAGTGAGTGCAAGCTTTGCTATATTGCTAGCATAACATATTCTAACACTTTCTTCAGGATCATCAGGAAGCATGGAAAGCATTGGAAGAATATATTCAGGAAAGATCTTGGCATCACTAGGAGGAAATTCTCGAACTAAAGGTAGGATGTCACACAAAGTCTCTAAAGCAGCACAACGGACAATTGCTGCTGGATCTGAAAGCATAGCAATTACATATGGTAGAACACGCTGCAATCGATCTTCATCGTCAATATACAATGATGATGACTTCAGTAGAAGTATGGCACCCCTTCTCAAATGGGGTAACTTGACATTGCGTATGCAGGAACAAAGAAGGGAAGCTATCAGAACCATGCCTTCACATCTCATACTCTCTTCAGGTAGAGGTGAAAAGGGCATCCCAAAGGTATCTGATTGACTGTCATACTCCGACATCAACGAATTCATATCATCAACTGTGATTTTCTTAAGAAACGGGTGGTCATTTTTCCTAAATGCATTCGAAATAGCCTGTAGAAGCTCACCGGGGGATTGTAGACCACATTGCTCGAGACCCTGGGAGAAACCAGAGTTCGTTTCACCAGTAGTATTTACCTTTATGCTACAATCATTATTTTGGTCTACATCCCCAAGCAGGTTACTGATATCACCAAGAAGTTTGTAGTTGTCCTGAACTGAACCCTTCTCTGCCTTTTCCCCACCTGTTGACGGCCTTACGAGTCCCACATTTTGTTCTATCATCTCTTCCATAGATTTAGAGCTCATGCCATTTGCAGGCATGCTAAGCCCACTCTGCATCGCCTCACTTATCCTGGGGCCCATCATTTGCTTAAGTATTTCATTGAAGACACTCTGGCACATTGCAACCTGAGGTAACAATGCAGAGCACAAATACACACGAGTGAGATGCACAAATTTCAGTGAGGAGATTGACTACTTCAATTGTATCCCGCAAAATTCAAATTTCTTACTCTCATATCAGAATGAAGCGGATTCCAACAGCAGTAGAAATTATGCAAGAATGGAGAGAAGTAACTCGGAAATACAACAGCTGCATAATTTTGCAAGTAGCTTTCAGCACAAAGGCGGGACTCAGGTTCCAACTGAATCATATGAAGTACCATCTTGCGGATTCCAGCATCTGGGATCTGAAATCAAAGGACAATTATCATAAAGAACAGGCTTTGAAACATGAATACAAACAAATATACACTCATTTAATCACATGCTGCCAACTGAGGAGTTTCAGAGTGGATATCATTCAAAGCTTCAAGTGACACCTTTAGACAGGATATAATCAAGGAAGCCAAACACTAAAGTTCTGAAGGAAAATAAGTAAATAACGAAGTAATGAATATGGATCTCAATGAGGAGCTTTGCATGATATCCACTCTGAAAGAGAAAGCATACGACAGGAAGAAAACATTTAAGAGACTGAGAGAGAGAGAACCTTTTCAAGATGTTGGCTAGGATCATATTGTCCTCTGCGGTAAGCCAGAAGCTGAGAGAGTTCAAATAATTGCTGGCCTTCGAGGAAAAGCTCTGCAATTACACACCTAATAGTAATATAAAACATTACTTCAACAATCAGATACCTGATACGGAAATAGAAGGAACAAATTTCACTAATGATGTTGGGAGATTTGACAGTAAAACAGAAGACTAGAGACACTACAGAAGGACACTTCCAAATTCAATAGCTCCTAAAAGGAGAAATAAGAAATTTCACTGGACATAGATCTAACCTTTCTCTGCAATATTTTCTTTCGTTCTGTTCTCTTTTCTCCACAACAAAGGCTAAACTATCATACACTTGCATTGTTCGCACCTCGCCTCTAACCAACCTATCATGAATCTGAGGATCTATTCAGGCTAAAGACCATTTAAATTAAATCATACTAACTCTTGCGAATAAACTAGTAACATAAAAAAATGAAAATTTTCCACCATATGCATGTTGTTTGCCTCCAGATGCAAATGGTCACTAGAAAAATCCTTTCACGTAACTAAACCCATAGTAGAGTTCATACTTTATAGCTTAGATCACTCACCCTACTGCAAATATGTCCATGGAAGGCCTTAATTGTGCATCTTGAGCAACTTGCATCTCACCTCCATGCTCATAGAACCTCTGAAATTTCCAAAATGAGCACTCGCTTTATATAACTTTCAAAATCACAGCAGTATTTCAGATATTTGATGACACCCGACACTAATTAAAATTTAGAATACAATGATAACTTAAAGGAAAGATTTGACAAGGTGATTACATTTCTGGCACTAAAGCAAGGATAGGTTACTAATGAAGGCAAGAAGTTTGGTACCTGTATTTGGGATATACCGAATACCGTACTGAATTTATCACTATTTGGTATTACCGAATACTGTCTTATTTTTTAGGGATTGGGATTGGGATTCATTTTGGAGCGGTATTCGGGATTACGGGATTGGGATCGGTAAATACCGAAATACCAAGAAATACCAAAAATTAAAAATTAATGAAATATAACACACAACCTTTGGTCATTTCTCACTCTTTCACAACTTAGAAGCTCCTATCCAACTCAATTTTGACTTTACAGTTTAAGTCACTCTCGTCTCTCACCTAATCTCTTATTATTTTCATAACACCAAAACACAAACACTAGTATTAGTCGTCTCTCAACCTCTAATTTGTCAAATTAAAGATTACTAATGACAAGAATTTGATATGTTACATTTTCTCCATTCTCTTTATCCATATTCTAGCTCTAGGCAAATTCAAGACTCTTTGCTTAGTCTCTTTGCCCCAAATTAAACAAACAAATCTAATCTATATATTTAATTATTAATTTCAAAGATAATTAAATTCGTTTAGATAATACCGATTGGGATACCGAAGTACCGATTGGGATACCGAAATATTTAGAGATTGGGATTGGGATGCCGAAATTATTTAGGGATTGAGATTGATTTTAGGATGTAATTCGGTATTCGGGATTTCGGAATTTGGTATTGGGATACCGATACCGTACCGATTTTCACCCAAATGAAGACCATTCTATAAATCAGGAAAGGTGTATGAATTTGTGGAGGTAACTGAAATCAACATGGACAAAGAAAAGGAAAAACATAGAAATAAAAATTCACCTCGGGTGCAAGATAGCAGAGCCTTCGTCCACCCGTATCAAAAAAGAACGAGAAATCAGATGGGTCGTCATACGGAATGTAAGTTGGCTTGAAAGATGCAAAATCAGCAAGGTACAGCCAATTCCATGAAGTCACCAACACATTCTCACATTTGATATCACCTGTGCACGTAGAGATGGGGATAAATTACAAACCCAGCTACTTCCCGACAATCTGGTTTCAATTTTCAAATTCTACACTCACCATGACATATACCCTTTTCATGGCACTGTTTTACAGCCAGAAGTAACTGCACAGCCAGAGAAGCACCAATTCATTACATCAGGAAAATTACTCATCGGACATATATCCTCCACCAATCCAACAAAAACAAAGAGATATACAACACCTGAAATGCCAACCATTTTTTCTCCACAAGACTGAGGAATGGCCGAGTACTGAGTCGATCATGCAGATTGTTGAAGAAACATTGTCTTAGAAGATAAGCTGCCTTGTCCGTTTCTTGCCAAAACTGTTAAGGAAGCAACATGTTCAGATGGATTGCAGTGAACAAAAACTCTAATAAGTTTTAACATTCTGTTGTTGTATCAATAAACCGCAACTTGCAACAACGCTTTCACCATCTCCTGTGTATATGACTACATAGACAAGCAGGGTCAATGGCATATCCCAGCCGTAGTAAATCACGCAGTTGTCTTTCTTACAGAGCAAGGATATTAATCGAACATAAACTAGCTTCCCTCGACTTATTCATGAGCTGAGATATTTCTTAAGAAATTAACCATTTTTCCCTTCTACTAAGATTCCAGTTCTTCAATCTTCTCAATTCGAAGTGTTCTATTAAATATGGAAATGAGCCCTCCATTTTACAGGTAACCCCCTGTACTGCAGAACCGAAATAGTGATAATTCCGAAAAAAAGCATCCACACACTTCCAAAAGCATAGGACGAGCTAACCCAATCAAAACCCTACTCCAAATGCTACAACAACCACATATTGAAATTGGACTACTGACTAAGAACTCCAAAATGCGAAGTAATTAAGCATTTCCCTAATGAACCAAATCAAGGAGGTAGGGGGTAGCAGTGTGAGAATAAAGCAAAGAACCTGGAAAGGCCAGACGTGAGGATGATCGAGGGAGCGGAAGGTTTCCTTGATGAAGGCGAGGCGGCGCTCGTACTCCCTCAGATCGATAGAGTCGCCGCGCTTGAAATAGACCTTGACGAGGACCAAGCCTTCGTCGTGCTTGCAGAGCACGGTCTTGAAGAAGCGGCCTCGGCCAAGGACTTCCTTGAGAACCAAATTATAGGAAGAAGGTAAATCGTGGAGGTAGTACTCGGAAGCGGAGACCTGCGTCGTGCGCGCGATCTTATTCCCCATTCTGAAATTATAACTTTCTGCTTTGTCCTCCTCCCGGTGGGCTCACTTCTCGCCGGCGTTCACTCCACCGGCCGGAACTCGCATGGGGCGGGAGTCGTCCCGATTGCTCACTTCAGGGTTAGAGTGATAAACAAGAAGCGCCTCTCTCTGGCAAGCGAGTGGTGGAGAAAGAAGAAGAATGTTGCCGAGCCATGAGAGGGAGGAAAGAACGCAGCGTCGAGCGAATGGTTTATGGTTGCGTGAAGTGCCGTTAGTGAGGCGGATGGTTTCGGAGCGGCTCGATGTTCGATCGGATAAAGATTCGTTAGATTAAGAAAAAGTTCTACTTCTACCGATAAAGAAAAAAGTAAAGATCATAACCAATCACACTAAATACATTTTTTTTAGGGGTCCTTTGGATAAGTTATGAAGGGAATAGAATCGCGGATTGGCTCTCGAAGCACAGTCTCGTCTATCCCTTCGGTATGTACGAATTAATCGAGCCTCCAACGGGTTTAGATCGGATCCTTTTGGAAGATATGATAGGTATTAGCTTCCCGAGGATGGTAGCCTCTGGATAGCTAGTTTCTTTTTTCTGATGCATGTTGCCAGTTCTGCCTAGGGCCTGCGTGTGTGCAGTGCTACCTGTGGCTGAATTTGTTTTGTTGTATCTGAGTTCCCCTGGCTTGTAGCCTCCCTCTAATCAAAAAAAAAAAAAAAATGAAATGGGGTGTGGTATTTGTGCACAAACAACTCATTTTTAAGAAGTGTAGTATTTCAGAGTTATTTAAGATTGGAATGTGATATTTTAATTTTAATTGTCTTGTTTGGTTGAAAGGGTTATTTGTATATGGTATTTCATATAAAAAATCAAAATTACTTTCTCACCCTCCACTGCTCACTAATAATCCTCTCCCCCTCCTCTTCTCCGGCAAAACAAACTGGCCGAGATAATCCTCAACCCCTCCTCTCTCCTCTTCTTATTCGGCAAAATCACAGAAACGAGACCCATCTTCGTCGCCTCTTGTCTTCTAACATCAACCCTAATAAGAATTCCTCCTTTTGGTGAAGAAATTCCAAAGCAATCGCTGGCTAAATCATATCCCCCAATAATCAATCAATTGATTTCCAACATGCAAGAAACAATTAACCACCGCTACACCAAATGCTTTCTCACTAAGACAGGGCGGAGAGCAGAGGAGATTGAATCGGGCTAATTGGAATATGGAGCAAGGCAGCAGACCTTCCAACTCGACTCGTCCTCATCCTAGTACTCGACGACATCATCTTCATCAGTTTTGAAGCCCTCGAATTGCGAATTTCAGGAGGCGGACTGCGGGAGGAGAAACGAGAAGAGGGAGATCGATGATTCCCCCAGTTGTCGCCACTACACTCGCCTCCGTTCGCCGCCGCCGCTAGACTCGCCTCTGTTCTCCTCCGCAACATAGGATTGAGCCTACTCATTCTGATCCGCATAAAGAAAGGAACTCAAAGGTAGCAGAATAATTGATTTTGGCGGCGTCGATTTTGCTATGTTGTCATGGATGGATTCGAAGAAGAAGGAAGGAGAGAGGAAAGGGCAGAAAGGAGTGATATAATGGGTGAACGCGTTATTTCACAATAACACCACCACCCCAGTTATTTTCTTTAACGCGTTTATGCGTTATTTGCAAATAACCCGTCCCCAAATAACCCATCCCCACATTATGGACCCAAACGCATTATTTCAGCTCAAATACCTCAAAATGAATTATTTGGGCACAAATACCTCATAGAAAAAATGCATCCAAACGACCCCGTATTTTTTTAAACTACAAACATATAATCGCAGAGAAGAAAAAACTCTTCCCTCATTTAAAATTCCCTGCTCCATGAGCGTTTGTAGGAATGGTAGAATAGAGAGTGTCAATTTTTTTCTTTTTTCTCTGTGGAACGGGCCAACTTACCGTACACATGCAGATTTAAACGGGTCCAGGAGTGTCAATTTTTTTCTTTAAGTCCTTTTATTTCTCTGTGGTGGTAAAATATATATGAAAATGCAAAAACAATACTTCTTTTTATTAAAAAGAAAAAAAAAATAACAATAAACTAATGCATGGATTCTATTGGGCTAACCGCTAATCATAAAATAAAAGAGTTGAATGGGCCTGACCTACACGAGATTTGCCCATCAAGTAAAACAAATGTACATCATGGGTTTGCCATTCTAAAACAAGCTATTTTCTCTAGCATAATATATATTATGCTATTATTTACATCTTAGTGGCTAAAATATAATGTATTTTAAAGTTATTCAATGGTTCAACCTCGACCAACCCAATTAGTCCAATTTCTATCATTTCAAATATATATTATGTAATTATTTGATATCATAATGATTAAATTATAGTGTATATTATAGGGAATCGTTTGGTATTTGTTAGTAAAAAACTAAACAGAAAGATCTATTTGGTTATTTTTAACATTAAAACGATCCTAAACATTTTCAGTTTCCTTTCGAAATTCTATAGTTTTATTCCCGAATCAGTGATGTGCAAATGGCGAATTGCAGTCATCTCTTTTCTTTCATTATTTTTTTATTTTCAAATAGAAAGTTTAAAAGTAAAGAATAATTAGAGTTTGGCATGGGTCGGTCAAACAGGCTGAATTTCAAGTTTTGGCCCGTTTTGATCAAGTCTAATTTATAATCACATGGTTCCCTGGTACCCGATAAAAATCTCAATCCAAACCAGTTTGGCAGGTGAGTCCGTGTTTACCACCATTTTCTAGGGATACAGGAACGGTGGTTCCTATCCCAAATCGTGTTGTTCATTCTTGATTTCTTTAGATTTTATCATGGCTTGGCAAAAAACCAGAAAGCACAATGATGACAAGATGAAAGTTTTATAAAGCAAATTAATCGGCCAACGGGCCGAGTAAAAGCTAGCAACGATTATGAGATGCTCATTTCCCGAAAACCAGCGGGATAGGCGATTTTTTATTCGATTTTCTGGAATTCAGTTTCTATAAAACTTACTCCACCTCATCATATTACCATAAATAATATTGTTTCACAAGGTAACAGGAACTTGATTTTGGTTCATAAGGCTGATTTTGATTCGTTGCATCATTCATGTCTCTTTCCTACTAAAATTCACTATTTTTATCACGTGTTTCCCAAAAAAAAAACTATACAACAATAAGCTATACACCCTATTACATTATCAAATTTCATACATCACCTACCTCCGACCAAATGGTCGGGGCCCACGCTAGTATCTATTAGAGTCGAGTATGAGTTAAATTTTGTGCAGTTTGTGAGATTAATGAACCAGCTCAATTAGAGAGCACTTCTACTATGCTATAAAGTATTGGTGCTTTAATGTACAACTTAAAGTTGTACCATAACGTTAAATGTATAAGTTCAGGTTGTACCATAAAGCAATTTGTACAATTATGTTATGATACAACTTCACAACTTGAAGTTGTGCCATCACATAAAGCTACAAGTTCAAGTTGTACCATAAAAGAATTTGTACAAAAAGTATAGGTACAATCTGAAGTTGTACCATCACGTTAAAGGTACAATTTCAAGTTAGTACCATAAAGACAAAAACCTATAGCACCAATGTTATATAGCATTGTAAAATTCCTCCTCAATTAGATGGTTTGTTGAGTTCAACTTGTGAACTCTCTTGTTTTGAGCTTATGAGATGTTTAAACTTTGTATTTAGTGAGCCAACTCGAATACTAGCATATTAATTAGAAAATTGATCTATATCTTCGGAGTTTAGCTTGTGATTAATTCATAGATCCATTAAATTGTATATTTCACATGTATGAGATTTTGAGTATATAAGCAAATGTATCTCATATATATGACATAAGATCAGTTAATCGCATGTATCATATATGATATATAAATAGTAGAGTTTAGTTTATAAATTATCATAGAGTTCAGCGAGCCGAACTCCTGATCTTAGTGACAAGTCAAGTAGGTTTTAATAACGACCTCGCTCGAATTCAACTCGACTGAGCTCTTTATAAATGAGTCAAACTCGAGCTCGACTCGTTTATTAACCAGTCAAACCTGAACAAGGTAAAGAGCGACATGACTCAGCTCATTAACATCACTAGCTAGTTGCGTGTACCCAATCCGACCATGGTGTTCAATTTAAGGCTAGTATTCGGTAAACCGGTATCGGTATTCGGGCATAAAATTTTCCATTCGGTAATACCAGAAATTTGGCGATAATTACCGACGGTAAACCGGTATACCACAATACCGAAACTAAAAAAAAAAGTAAAATGCAGCACAACGGATTGGATTTGGGGGTAAACTAAACCCTAATCGACCTCACCAATTGCCTCCTCGCTGCACGCCGCGCTCGAGCTCGACCATCTCCTTTCTCCTCTGATTCTCTCCCGAAATTGATCTCGCCGCCAGGCATCTCGCATCTACATCTTCCTCTTCTCTTCACCATCAGCAGCAATCCCCGAAATCGATCTCACCACCCCCAGCCCTAGCCCCCAGGCATCTCCGTCTTCCTCTTCTCTTCACCACCAGCAGAAGTCCCCGAAAGAGAGAGCTATGCCGCCCCCAGCCCCCAGACATCTCCATCTTCCTCTTCTCTTTACCACCAGCAACAGTCCTCGACGGGGAGAGCTACGCCACCGACCGCCGCTTCTTGAAACCGAAAACAGGGTTCAACTCCAGCCACGATTGATGATTGAAGAATGAACTGACTGATGAGCTGAAAGCCAGCCTCGTTGATCGACTTCCTTCACGACACCATTTCCCTGCTGCCTACTGGACCTTCTCGCCATCCCCGACCCCAAGGTATGTATGCCCAACGCCTTCTTAATCTTAATTATTTCATTCATTGATCAGTATGACAACTGATCTCTAACTTCCTTTTGTAGCTCTTTGACGAGGCTAATAGCAGCCACCAGCCGACCCTCAACAAGAACTGAAGAAGCAGCGGCCAACGGGGAGTTATTTACTTTTGTAGCTCTTTTTCGAAGCTAACAGCAGCCAACCCTCAACAAGAAGCAACATCAACATTCAACAATGTTAGTCTTGACTCTTGACAACGTGTAAATGCAAGAAGATTTGGTCAATTTAGTGAATTAGATGAATTAGATTTTAGTGAGTACTGAATTGTGAAGCAAAATAGTAGCATACTTGTATGATTGTATCAAACGTGGTGTTTGTGTTTCTATTTGGCTTTTTCCTTTTGGTGAATGATAATTTAGATGAATTAGATTTTAG